TTTATATTCCATAAAGACAACATTGGGTGAAGAATAAACAAAAATCATCGTATTTTCAGTCATGTTTATTATAAAAATATGAATGTACGATCGCTACTGTATTTCTATTCTTTTTTGAAAACCCTATATTAAGGATTCGTTTTTTAACGTTTCAAAATCTTACACAGTCTAGCACGTTTTCGGACGAAGTATTGGATTTTCATTTTTCATCATCTCAAAATGATTGAAAAGTTATACGATCACATATTATATGGCTCGGGGCAAAGCTAATCATAACACCGTATCTATAAATAGGAAAAAAAAAAAAAAAAAAAAGGGAAAATAAATGGTCCAGCTCAAGGTGTGTGAGCGGCCACGTGTTTAGACACCACAAATCAGTTATTTAAACATTTTTGCGAGACATTTGGAAAACGAGAGGTTATACCGCCGCAGTCCCGATCATTTATTAGGAATGATGCATAAGATTTAAATTAATTTGAAAAAACGGGAGAAATGTCCAATATATTTATAAGACAAAATACACTTTCAAAGTTAATTAATATGGCATTTACGTAGTTGATATCTTCAACTATCCTTTTCCACTTTTTCTTTTCTGAGAAACTTATCCAATTTTGTTTTGAAAAAATTCCCATACCTTGTCTAATGGTATGAAATTCATAATGCGCGGTTAATATACAGCAACGGTGTATGCGTGATGAAGTACTCAGATTATGAATCACTCCGGTTTTCTTTTTTTTCAAATCGATATTTTCTGTCATAAACGTCGATTCTTAATATTCACCATCATTACCATGGATTAATGTTGTAATGGGATTTTTTTTTATCAAAAAATATTATTTATCTTATATTTATTTTTTTCCCATAAACATATACTTTTGGAAATTATAAATTATTTAAGTTTAAGCACAGTTGTCAATACGCATCGCTCGTACATGACATTCCGTACGTTTTGGGGACCATTTGTCCGATTCTATAACAGTTCGTATGTGGCTGTTTAACATGTGATATACTTGTCTGATATTTGAAATATGTATATTTTCGCTCGTTAAGATTTTTGATGATATCGCCTTCGATATCCATACGATATTTGATTTATTTGCAATATCCGAATAAAATGTATTCGGGTATCATTGCGTAGGTGGCGAATAAAATAAATTAGGTTTACTTGAGTACTACCATCGAATTGATGGTAACACTATCGCTTCGAGTTTCGGGAAACAGTAAGTTTTATATATACCAATAACTAAAAATGAGTTTGATGTAATTGATTTTTTTTTTTTATGTCTGTGCTACTAGTAGGTATTGGTTGATGTAGAGTTGGAATTTGGGTAGGAGGAAGGCTTGCTCTCAATTTTACAATTTACTTATATTGTCAGCATCAATCTTCCGAATCTTAAATAGATAACAATCACGTTATGATTTATGATATTTTATTTGATAAAATTACTTCATAAAATATTTTAATTGTTTTAATTTTTATTAAGTCATAATGATATCTTTGGTCTTTGTCCACTTTAGTTATTCGTCGTTTAGTTATTAATTAGATGTATTTTCTATACAGACTTAGCACTGTCAATATATTATACAATACCAAATATGTAATGCCGTGACTACTCTCCTTAGTGCCACTAGCGAATTTCATTTTGGCACTTATTTTATATAAATAAACCCATTTTAATTTAACTTAAATGCTCCCCTTTCTTTGCTGCATCCTTGGCAACCACCCATTTCTCCGACCTCTAGTTACAGCACTGATAATATGTAAATATGTTAATAAATTAAATTGTATCTATTTTTTTATAAATGGTCAATATTAAAGTATTGAAACACCTTGTTTATGAGTATGTCTGAGTGTACATTTAGATTGTACTAGGATTTCCTGTACCGGAAATTAATTAGAGACATTACACATTTAAAAAACTCTGGTGTAATTTATTCAGAAAAGTAATTTATTTGCTTATGTAATTTATTCACCAATAATATTAACTCGCAGAATTTAACTACACAATTTGACTGGAAAAAAAATCACATCGCTATTAAAAACACATCTAGTAGATAAACATAAAAATGAACATGTCACATCCTGCTGTATTTATAATAATATAACACCATCAATGTTGTATATGCATCAATAAAATCGAAGACTACTTAGAAGAATCTAAATAATTTCACTTGCGTGCAAGATTTGTAGTTATTTTTTTTTCTATTCGATATTAAGTATCAAATTTTTATGAATTCCTATGTGTTAATTTTGATTATTAAATCGCTCAACTGATTTTCAACTAATTTAACACGTTTGTAAACAATGGTTTTGCTACTTTCAAGTGTTACTTGGATTCCACAAAAGAAATTATCGCATTTGAAGTGCCATAAGCATTATACTTAAGTGTATAAACATTTAACTTTTACTATTTGTCACAGTCTTCTGTTCGTTATTTTTCTTATGTATTACTCATTGTTAGTGACTGGTTATTACTCGATATTTCTCGTTGTTTCCATGTAATTTTATTGAGAAAACTCTCTTAAATTTGCTCGATCAGTAGTAGACACTTTTAATCTAAATACACATAGACAATGTACCATTCCAGTAACATTAATCATTATAATTTTAAATAAATTACTAGCCCATCGGACATTTCAGATATTAATGTTGTATTATCTTGCCAAATATCTCAGCTCTCCGATTAATCAATTTTATAATATATATTGTTAGTTTCAAGTTTGTCACTTACAACACTCTTAACACTATTTTAAATTTTTCATTTTTCACGTGTATTATTGACATGTCATTATTGTGAAATTTTTCTCCCAAATTATATGAAATGTAACTAACGATAGATAAATACGGTATCTTCTAACATTATCAGTCAAAAATAATGTTATATCATACGATGTCGAATCATTTAATGCGTTTATTTTATATTACCGGCTTATTTAAATTTTTAATTTTTTGTCATTTTTCAACCTACTCTAGCACTTTATTATTTTTACATAGAATTTCAAAAAATATTTTTATTAATTTATAATAATTATCAATTAATAGAAATATTAATAAACATATTATTATTATTATTATTATTTTAATTATTATTTTGTAAATTCTAATATTTTATTCCTATATATTTTTATTAAATGATATGATATTGTTCAATATAGTATAAGTAACGATATACTCGTAATGCTTAAAAATGATGAAAATATAAATATACAAACGACTACATTCAAATTTCTACGGATAAATGTCCCAATTCAAAGAATATTATTAACTGGTAAAATTACATAAAGTTTAGTGAATTTTATTTTATAAATATGTATTTTTCTAAAAAATTAGACTAGAATTAAATTAAGCTTGTACAATTAATTTTTTTAACGTAAAAATGTTGTGCAGGTATTCAGGCATTACAGCGTGGAAGCCAAAGACATTGATCACGCGTGTTTCGCATGCCTGCATTTTTCTATTACTAAATTAGACTTTGTAGTACTAAATATCTTTAAAATTGTCTTAAAAGCATTTTATATACGTAGTTTTAAAAAAATTATTTGCATAAAAATTATTATTTGAAGTTTAAACTATTTTATCTTGTTCGTTCAAATTCCTTTTTTTTTAGTTTTCTTTATAATCTCAAAAAATTCAACTTATCATATAGAGAGAACAGTGCACCCGCGTGACTTATCGAAGTAAAAGCGACTACGACAAGTAGAGATACTTATAACTATGCACGAATATACATATTTCATGTGTTTGTTTAGGAAGTAATTTCTTAAGTTTCTCTGAAAATTCGAAATTTTATAAGCTTAAAGAGGATAAATCGGTTAGTTTATATATATATATATATTTGAAACGTATTTGTAATAAAAAAAAAATACTTTCATAATCTACTTTTAGATCTCGTTAAATGTCTTACTAGAAGTTTATTTTTTGTGAATTTTTATCTTTAAAAATCGAATTAACGTCACGTGGATTGGATTATGCATATTATAGTATACGTTCCCAAAACTTATAAAATTAAAAATCGATCGTTGGTGAGTTTTCGGCACTCGGCCCAGTCGACGTACACAGTCGCACAACCCGTATACATATATCCTTCCGGTGACAGTACCCATATAGTATGTATTAAGACCTTCTCATAGATCCGTCAAAGTACGTAATTTTCGACGTACTTACTACCAATACGTCAAAATTATGCGTATGACGCGACGCATATGGGTCCCACACTGAATACGTCCATTTACGTACGTCGTTACAATACGTTCATTGTTTATGAATTATTTAGGTTTGTGTGTAGTGCACAGGTAGTAGTAGTGTGGGTAGTTTGTACTTTCCTGTGTTATTTTTTAAGTTTAATATTTATTTAATTACACAGTTTATATACTTATTAATTATAATTAGTGAGTTAAATAATTGACAAAATATGACGTTATCCATGCAATCTAAAAAAGTATTGGTGTTATTGATATTGAGAAGACGAAAACAAATAAAATTAGAATTTGGGTCCATTCCATGAACAAAATTTGATTTGTGAATAGAGAATTTATTTATTATTTATATATAGAGAATTTATTATGTGTTGAAATTTAAACATTTCCAGACCGATATTTCAACACCTCCAGAATGGATAAATATCAATATGATATATTATACGCACTTTTGAAAAATTTACTTACCAAAAACGACACAATCTTAGAAAATGTGTACATGCTAAGGAACAATTGGTAATATATTTATATTTAAGGTAATATATTCATTTTTTATATTCATTATATAATTATTATAATAATATTATTACGTATAAATTATAACGAATAATACTTAATTCCTGGGAAGCCACTGTCTTCTGTGTTGTTTTGAGGATTATAAACTGTGGATGTGTATGTTGATGTAAATGAGTAGGTAGAAATTTCGGAGAAAGGCGAATAATTATTTCTAGTTCCAAATTCAATATCAAAAATAACTTGTTGTATTTTCATTCTTGCTATAGAATTTTGTCTTGATGTCATACGTTTTAATGCTGGAAGATGACTTAACAGAAATTGTTCATCGATATCAACATCTTTCGTAATGAGATTTATAAGTTTATCGTCAATATCATTTTTATTTTCTGAAGGTACATGTGTACGTTTTTCAGAAGCTAATGATTTTAAATTATTTGTATTAGACAACATAATATGTTCAATTTGTTTATTATTATGTCTGGTGCTTATAATACATTATCAATATTAGCTTCTTGTGTTGGACTTTTGTGTTCTTGGTGAATAGAAATGTCTGCCACTCGAATAATTCCCCATGATCCTGATGAAAACAATAATAACAATAGTTATTTTAGAAAAATTGTATTGTATTATACATATTATGTTGCAGGCATTTTAATAAATCATAAAATTACTCTCTAAAGTCTATGTATGGGATCAAAAATGACATATTTGGGAATAATATGACCATTTTGATATTTTACCGTCTCCAGAATCACCAGAAAGTTTTTATACTCTATGCATTTTTATAAATATATCTCTTAATGATCACCATATCTTTTTTACACTATTGACTTTTTAAATTAAATAACAACATAAATAAAAATCAATATTAACTTATAAGGCACTAATTTTCTAATTTCCACCTAATTTTAGTATCTTTTTAGATACTTAGCAACTAGTGCATCATTTCGGAATTTAGCATACAATTTTCGACTTGGGGAGTCAACTGTTAATGCAATTGTTAAGGAAACATGTGAGGCAATTTCAACTATACTCAAAACATTATATATGCCACAAATTGACATTGAAAAAAATTGGGATAAAACTGTTCAACAATTTTATTTTAAATTAAATATTCCAAATGTGTCGAGGCGGTCAACGGGAAACACGTTTCAGATTTTTGCCCGAAGAATTCGAGACTTTTATATTAAAATTATAAACATTTTTCATTGTACTTATGGCAGTTGTTGATGCAGATTATAGGTATATTATGACAGATATAGGTGCGTATGATCATAATAGCGATGGCGGTATATTCGTATTTGCAAATAGCAATTTTGAAAAATTATAGGTGACCCAAAATCATTCGACTTTACATGTTACAGATTTTAAAAAGTTATCAGACACTGAAGTATGCGTTCCATTAGTTTTAATTGGTGATGAAGAATTTCCATAAAAAAAAAAAAATTTTAAAACCGTTTTCCGGGAAAAATTTAACAGAATGTGATCGAGTAACAAATTATAGAATTTCAAGAGTCCGACGCGTCGTAGGAAACGCTTTTGGAATTCAGCACATAAACGGCGAGTACTTCTTAGAAGAATTAAATTCAATGTACCTTGTGATACAAGTATTGCATTGACATGTTGTATTCTACGCAATTTTGTAATAACAGAAAAAAATCAAACTACCTATGAAAATTCTGAAACAATTAATGAAAACTTATTAAAGTAGTCAGTTACAATAGACCAACTAGACGCGCAATTGATGTACGAAACTATTTTGCTGATTGGTTTATTTCACCTGTCGGAGAAATTCCTTGGCAATATGAATTTATGTAAATAAATAAATAATTTTTTTTTAAATGTATTTTTACATATAATTACTTAGTTATAATTGACGTTAATATGTGTTATTGTTAAGTAATATAATTTACTTAAACGTAATTTAATTAATATAATTAAAACAACTAAATATTACTTACCGTCAGCTTTAAGCTCATTAGCTATTTCTTTCCATACATCTTCTCTGTAATCCGAACTTTTATATGATCCTAGAGTATCAACATAAAACATTGGTCTACTTTTACTTCAATAATTAGGTTTTCTTCCATATTAAGAATATTATTGTCTGTCCAATCAACGGTAGAATAACGACAAATATTGTGGGTTGTACTCAAAGAATATAATAATAGCTGAGAAATAATCGATTAGATTAGGGAACTTCAATAATGATAATAATCTAATATAGATTAAATACAAATATACGATACGTTCGACGTATTTATCTGATAGTAATTTTATATCGTACGTTGACGCGACGTATCAACGAATACGGTTTTTGACGCGTCGTATCACATGTGCGGACTCGTATTTAAACAAGTAGAGTTTAAAAAGATTACATCAACGTACGTCAACGCAACGGATGCCGACATATTTAGTGTGGAAGGGCCTTTATACCATAATAATAATATTCTTAATATTTTTTTATTCGTCGACAGCCACAGCAGCAACTGATGACAAAACGTTTCGACTCGAAATCTGTTTCGATATGCTCGTCATTGCCATTAATATTGTTTAATTATTATAATTGTTTGTGAAAGTAAGTGTAATCGAAAAGTTTGTTTAACCCATGTACGATCGAACTACTTTTTTGTATAGCAGCAAAATATCGAACAACGTACTGCGCGCACACAGTTTCTTCCTTTAAATACGTTGTACTTATGTTATGTACAGGGGGATTTTATAAGCCTTCTCGTTGTTTTTTTTGTTTAACTAACGCATTTTTTCAAATTCTAATTTTTGGAAAATGTACTTGAATTCTATATTTTCCAATAAATTTTATGAATCTTTCAAGGAACATCCTGTGGTAATATCAACTTTTATTTTTCAAATAGGAACACCATATTTATACGCAGTATATATCCATTTAATTCTCGATACTACACAATTAAATTACAGCCAGTACTCTTGGCGTTATTTAAATTTACAGCTGAGTATAAAAAGTGTGCAATAATTTGTATGTTAAAATGTTCTTTCTGAACGATATTTACTGTATTACTGAGATAAAAATTACGATTAAATCCACATCATATCGAGGCAGTGGTGAACTGCAATTGAATAAAATGACAGTTGACATAATTTTATCGAAAAACCAAAGAAATTATAACAAGTTCTTCGTAGATAAATTCGATAATTCCGAAAGTACTGGTCGAAATGTAATTACTGTTACATGGAAAATATTCCAGAAAGAATGAACCGAATGATGATTTGCGTAAAAAAAACGGTGCTCCAGTTTGAAAAACAAAAGTTGATATTGTCACAGTTTGCTCGTTAAGAGGTGCGGAAATTGGAGAGTATAGTCTCGTGGCACACAAGCACATTTCCTGCAAATGAGAATTTTTTGAAAAATGTATAATTTAAACATAAAAACGTTTCAACAGTTTATCATGGTCGAAAAGTTATTCTGTACGTGTACCATATACGCGCATTTGCAGCACTCGTTATTAGCAACCGGGGACAAATGACCTGATGTCGATCGGTCGAGGGTGTTTTTTTTTGTGTTGATTTTTTTTTTCACATCTATCCGCCGGAACCAATTGTTAGCAACCGAAACTGCGAGAGAATTACGCAACAGAAGTCCATGTGTTCGGGTTCAATAGTGATCTTTTCCATTACGCGTCTGACAAACATTCGATCGCATTACGTACGTTCGTCGCCGTCGATACAGCAATTAAAATAATAACAACCACGGTAAATGCGTATCCGGGCGCTCAAAAATATAAGCGCACCGTCATTGCCGCAGAACCGTTCACCGGTGTAGCACAGTTTTGTGATATACGACTCGAATCGACGTCGTTTTGATATTCTCTGTAGCGGCGTCGTATCCGAAATTTCTGTGCAGGGCTACCGCGCGTGTTATTTTTCAATCGAAATCATATTTTCGTTGTTTGGCGATTGCTGCTTTTTAAACTGCCACAACTCCAGTCTTCTAATGATTAATTATGCATAAATATTCATATGATACACTCGATGATGTCATGTTCGATAAACATTATAACATTAAGTACAAATACGACCATTGCACGAGACCAATGTGGTTATTTTTACCGTTTCCGCTAGTCTTATTATAAGTGATGGTCAATTATTATTATTATCATCGCGTCGTTGAAAAGTCGTTGTGGTCTGCTTCGCCTGACCATTATTTTGTACTGTTGGGTGACCCATAGCCAAAGGGCAAACAGAAAACAAAATCCACGTGTGAATACGAATAGATCATCAAAGATATTTTGCCACGCGCTCACAGCGGTGGCATATTTCGAGGAGTGGAAAATGTAAAAACTATTTATCACTAATTAAAAACTACAGCACCAAATGGCTGCTCACGGGCTGCTTATAATATTTCATTTACAAACGCATTACGTGCGGGTCTCGTAACAGGATATACATTTTCGATTTCGTATTATGTGATGTGTTATCATTGAATTTTTGGCACACAAATACGTTAAGACGGGAAAAAATTATTAATAAAAAGTTGTTTTTTCCACTGTCGAACGCGCCTGTTCTTCATCAGATCGGATGCAAACGTCTAGCGGCCACGTCCACGTACGGACGCTTGCTGAATGAACGTGCGCTCGCGCGTATCGCACAATCAACGTCAATAATATTGTGCGGTGCAACTGTATTTCAGTGATTTACGGCGGCGACTTTTCACGGACCCGATCACGGGCGGCGAACACGTGTGTTTCGATTACGAGAACGCGCACGCCAACGCGTTACGCGCCGCCGGCGGCGATACCTATTACGCGCCGCGTTTCACGGTCGGTTTGGTTTCGCGCGACGCAGTGTTGTGCGCGACCGTCGGGTAAAAATGATTCGTGCGCTTGGACGCGACGACAACGATCACGGTCGGGAAAGCCGGTGACCGGGACCCGAACGAGGTCTCGAACGCGCAACACGTCGATTGCGCCCTTACATCGGAAACGCGAATAACTCGGTGTTATCGCTAGTCCGGGTGTAAGCGTCCGCTGAGGGCTTACGGTTTATTAGTTCCCGTCGTTCGATCACCAAAACCCTACGGCAAACCCGACCGGAATCGGTTATTTTTTCGGGCGTCGCGTCAACGGTATTAACCCACTGAAAACACTATGTATATTGAAAATCGCGAGCGCAACAAGGATCTTACCGGAAATAACCAAATTTATTATAACACTTTTTACATGTTATATGTCAAACACTAGACGAATAGTGTTGTGGCCGATCGGTGTGCGCAGCATTAATGGTTAATTAATTATTCACGTGGTAGTTGGTTATTACGTACGTCTTATTACCGATCAACGGTGTGTGTGTGTGTGTGTGTGAATGTGTATTTAGAGCTACGGATAAAAAAGAAAACAAATGATTTGACGCAAAAATTTAAATAATTCGCAGCGATACAATAGTTAATAATAAACTAGTATTCTTGGCTCAGCAATATAAATTGACAATGGTTATATTAAATAAATAAGATAATATAGTAAAAGTTTATAATGATATGGAGTGAAAACTGTACAGCCGCTTAAGTGCCTATTTTTAAAATAGTAAAAATCTCGTTCGTATTCGGTACAAATGATTATGTACAAAATGAAACTTGAAATAATAAACATTGTAAAAAATATCTCGGTGATTTGCGCATTTGTGTCAAAATATCAATTTGATCTTGGGCGGCACTCATGCAAGTTATTTTCCTGACCATAAATAAAGAGTTTATCCTTTGGTGGTACGGCTATAAAAAAGAAAAAGCCATAATGATAAAAATATGATGAATCACGCAATAGAATATACATATAAAAACTCGTAGCGATATTTGTACAGGTCGCCAGTTGACACAATATATACGAAGGAATACAACGCACGGGTCTTACAATAATCAGAAACAGATATAAACATTTCATAACTTTGCATCATCGATAGTGTGTTACGACGTCTTAACCATCAGGTATTAATATTAACAAAATAACTAATTACTTAACGCGTGTATAAATATCATATGATACGCGTATAAGTTAATTGGTCCGTGAAAGTGCACGATTAAGATATACTAATAGTAATATGCACAGTAGACCGAATGAACCATGTATCCTCAAACATGGCGCGGACAAATAACGAATAGCGGAGCACGTACATCGGTAACCGTGAGGTAAACCGTAAGATTATTGTGTGCAATTTAAAATATTAATTCGATCTTTCGCTCTTGCGTGGTCTTGAAATTTCAACTTAAATTTTTTCGAAACACTGATTTCGTTTTTTATCGCAGAAGAAATCGTAGGAAAAGCTAAAACAAAACATGTTAAAGCGTATATACAAAAGACGATCTGAATAGCTGGCAAGTCATTTTACATTGTATTTCTTTGTAATATTTATCTGTATTTCACAGAATAAAATATAGATGACAATAGTAATAGTAATTCCGGTCGAATAAAAATTGAAATCATCCATCGATGTTGACATAACACGTGTTTCATTTCGAAACGGTATTAACTCACTGTAAACAAAATGTGTAATGAAAATCACGAGCGCACCAGAGATTTGACCGAAAATAACCAATTTTATAACTCTTTTTACACGTTATGATTTGTCGAACTGCGAAAATCAAAAAAAAATTCAATACAGTATGAGAATATTGTTCAAGAATTCTAGGTTAACAAAAACTAAGCTTGCGGAAGTCGCAGTGGACCGTATTGTTATTAACGTGCACATACACGGTTTAACCATGTTTTATCCGTATCACGAGAAAAAAAAACTTTCCAATACGAAAACGTCAACGTACCTTATTATGGTAATATTACTCATACACATATACGACTATGGTCTATGACTTTTTCCCGGCATGTTTATTTTGTTTTCAACGGACAACGAACCACTATCACGTAATTCGATTTGTCTCCGGCGACCCTAATGGCGTGTAATGTTTTTATTTTATTATTATTCCCCTCCCGCGTAACGTTACTCGGAATTTCGGCGAGAGAGTTGTGATCCCGCATTTTCTCGTTGTAATTAAACCATTCGCCGCTGCGGGAATCGAAAAGTATGAAAAC